TCACGTGACCCTAAAGTCATCACTTGATCATCGTCCGCTTTCACGTCATCCGTAGAAGATATCATTAAAGTCATCACCATCATCCATAGAATCATACTCCCTAAATAAACTATCATTAGAATTATCAGTACGCTCTTAAGATCATTATAATTCTTAAGATCTTTATCACCCTTAAGACCATCACTGACCCTGACATCACTCTTGATCATCACTATTAACGGCATCACTCCCCTCATCGTCCTCTATTGATAGTAAAGTATTCGTCCCGCAATTTCTTATCGTCCAGATAGTTTCTCAACAAGTATAAATCCCTCTTCTTGCCTCAAGTTTATCTTCATCTCCCGTACACCGTTGGAGTTGAATTGGCCCTTCATTCATATAATTTCATTAAGCTCTCCCATCAACGGTTACAACACGATCACTAATTTTAAGCGAGGTTGATTCTCTCTGACAGCGATACCGATCGTATATTACAGTTTTACATTATTTTAATACCATTTGAATCGCATTAATGAGATGATTCCAATAACATGAAAATCATAGATATTCAATTCCTCTGTTTTCAAGATTTTTTTATTAAAAGTAATTATTTAGAAAGCATGGTCTACAGGTTTTTCTTGATCGTCACTCACATCTACCCGTTTTCTATTTTTATCTGTTACGTTCTTTTTTTTATGAAACGCATATACGAAATTACCTGATGAAGGTTTCTATCACACGAACCAAGCGTCGCCCAAAAATCAGGTACAGTTTAAACTCAATTAATTTAAGCACCTAAGTTTTATATGTAAAATTTAGGCAAATTTTGCTTTTTAGACTTATTTAACGACAAAGAAATTTATTTTCTGGGTATCATTTTGCAAATTCTCTTTCATTCGAAGGTTATGAAATTTGAAGGGTGGTTAAAAATAAGATTGAAAAGGATCTTGATCACGAAGTTTTTTTTACGATTTTAAGGTTTGTTTATATTTGATAACAAGTGATTAAAAAAATTTTTAATGGATGTTTTCATATTACTTATTTTGGATAAATATCACTTGTTATTACATATAAACAAACCGTAAAAATCGTAAAAAAAATTGCCCAACTTCGTGATCAAGATTCTTTTCAATCTTATTCTTAACCACCCTTCAAATTTCATAAGAACCTTCGAATGAAAGAGAATTTGCAAAATGATACCCAGAAAATAAAAGGACGTTGTTAAATAAGCCTAAAAGGCAAAACTTACCTAAATTCTATATATAAAATTTAGGTGCGTCGATCATTTGACTCCATATTAATGAATTTACGTACGTACTAATTTATTTCATACTGATTTAAAAATCGGGCTTTTCTTTAAAAAGTGATATATTAATTAGGATTAGTGATGAGATGAATGTGTAATACTAACAATAAACCAAAATCTTGAGTTTTTTGTTATTTGTGGAGTTTAGTTACTTGATGACAATTTAAGATTAATGTTTTTCAAAAAAAGTGAGTGATTATTCTTGTTTTAGTTCTCACATTACACCTGAACTTATTTGCCGATTGGCCAGAATTGAGAAATTACAGTAATAGTAGTGCTAAAACTATATTTGTTGATTACGATTTCTGACAAATATTATAATTTTATTGGTTAACCAAGATCGTGAGAAATTGAAGCATTTAATATGAATAGCGATTACAGATAACGAAAATAAACTAAATATTTGGTTGAATTTTAAAAAGACAAAGTTATGCAAATGAAAGTAAAAAATAAAACAAAAAAGAAAGCTTTATAACAACTACGATAGAAACTATGATAGAAATAAGACTACTGTAGAAATTTTCTAGGCCTAATTTTAATTGGCAACTCCTTACAGATAGATATGCTAGTAGTTTCTACTTTTAATCCCGCTTTCATATCAATTAACGCAACATCATACTTTCCAAATACCATTACCATTAATGCAAGTAATTCTATAGTCGCCAACTTTCTTCCAGGGCACATGCGTAATCCACCACCAAATGGTATAATAGAAAATTTAGGTTTTGCTTTATCATTCAAATTGTTGCTATCATCCTTTTTATAAAATCGATCCGGGTCAAAAATTTCTGGTTTAGGCCAAGTATCTTGATGATAGTGGATGCCAAGAACATTCAAATGGAAATACGTTCCAGGTTCCCATCGATACCCAGCAAATTCGCAAGGATCTTCAAGATATCTTACGATCTCAAGTACAACCGGCATCACTCGACTAACTTCATTAATAATTGCATCACAATATTCTAATTTTAAAAGGTCTTCATACTTCAAATTGAGAGGAGTATTTGGAGGAAATATTGAGTCGATTTCTGCGATCATTTTTTGTTTAACTTGAGGGTGGTGGCAGACGTAATAGGTTACGTAACTGAATGAATTTGCTGTCTATTAAATTTTTTTTAAAAGGTTAATATTAATAAATTATTCAAGAAATTATTGTGTTGAAATATTAAATGTTCAAAATACTATTAATTGTCCAAAATATTATTAATACTTACAGTATCAACACCACCTAAGAAAGCGTCAAGCAAGTTACCTCTAATCTCAACGTCTGTCATTGGTCTAGTGATATCACCAGTACTCATACGATTCTTATTTCTTTCTGTATTAGCAATAATTAAAGATGTCAACATATCTTGCCTTAATTCGGCATCTATTGGAGTCTCTTCAATCTCTTTTCTTCTCTTTTTAATCATCATATCTAATGTTTCAAACAAATAATCCCGATTTTTAACTATCGCTTTAACTTTAGATCTAATAAATGGTGCGTAATGACGCAAGATTGATCCAAGATACATAAAATATGGGAATGAGGCAACGTGAAGGCTAAATCCTTGAACAAATCTTTCAGAATCTTCAATCAATGCACCAGTACGATTTACTTTTACTGGGCTGTAAATATTATAATATGAAGCCATGGTATAAGATCTTTCACCAGTGACTAAAATTACTATCATATCACTCGTAAATCTACGAGACCATTTTGCTATATCCATTTCGAGTGACCACTCATTTTTATCATCTTGTAAATTATCACCGGATAAATTTAATTTTCCAAGAGATTTCCAATATTCCTCTAATTCTTGAAGTAATTGATTAGCCCATTTAACAGATTCATTATTAAAACTTGGTGTAAGAATAGCTTGATTAAAGAATTGACGGTTAAATCTCCAACTTTTGATATCATGATTTGCTATTATGCCTTTTCCACCCAATCCAAACTCTTCAAATCCTTCTAAATATGGAAATCTTGTCATGAATGTAGTATCCTTAGATGAAGGGGTTAACATTCTTTCGAGATATTCAGGATTCGAAATCAAAATTCTTCGTGATCCGTTAAGGTAAAATTCACATAAGTCTCCATATTTTTGTTGGAGAAATGTAAATAACTGTTTACTATTACCTGTAAACAAATAAGAGCATTCTATAAAGGGAAGAGGTAATGGTCCTGGTAACTTATTAGGACGCGTAAAATATTTATAATAAAAATGAAATACATATGCTAAAACAAATAATACGATCAGAATGAAGTAATCAGTAAATTTAAGAGCAAAAATAATATTAGAGATTTTCATTTTTTAAAGAAATTTTTACAAAATAATGAGCAATGTAATAAGAATCTGACATTTTTGATATACACATGTTTTATTTATACAAATTATTAAATTCATGACCTCATTTTAAGATACAAATAATTAAATACGCAATCGTTATTAAATGAATAGACGATTATTGTATTATCAATGAAGTAAGAAACATGTACCAATCAAGTAAATCATTAAATATACTTTATTACAGTACCAGGTTTTTACTCTCACGCATTTACGTAATTGTTGCAGATCTTATCGTCGTGAGAATAAAGATCTTGCATCGATATCAATCATTAAAAAAAACTACTTTTAATGAATTCTACAATATCGTACATATAAATTCATACACTGAGTTAGATTGATGAAAAACTTACAATGAGTTCTTGCACTAGAATCTCATGTGGATATACAGGTGAATAGTCTTTTTGAGTTAGTTCCACGGCAATTAATTGATTTTTGAGCAGGATCTGTAAATAAAATTGGAATTTAAACCAAGTAAAAGCTATAAAAACTATATCCGTTTTATTGCGGTTTGTATAATTTTGTGACCCCCTATGATTACAGAATTAATTTTTTTTAATGATTAAATGATTGTGATTGCGA